ACATTTGTATCCCAGAGGGTGCTGGTTCATAACTCGGCTGAACCCACACGGGAGACCAGGAAGAAGTTCCTGGCTGCTAGCTTCAGACAGACCAGCTCTGATGATTGTGGTCATTTGGGAGTGAAGCAGCAATGGAAGATTTCTGTCTCTTTATCTCCTTCTCTCTATGTTATTCCACCTTTCACATTAATAAATATAAAAAAAGAATAATCAACCTTATTACTTAACAATGTGTATGAAATAAATGAAATAATGTAGAGGGAAGAAAAGATCAGGCAATTTTGCTTTGAAGGTTTACATTAAGTGAAAAGTATTGAGTCTCTGGGTATGGGTAAAACCGAATCCGCATAATCTAAAAGCAGGACCCAGCCTCCTGTCTGTGTCCCACACCGCAAAGTGCCCCTGCCTGCCATTTATCAAAAGGAATTCAATGGCTTAAGGGAGTGATCCAGCTAGTCTTACAAGCTTTAATCACCAGTCAATTGCTTCTTCAATAGATAAGGAGCTTAATGGCCAGTCTTGTCCTGGAGTGATTTTAGTAGGTGAATTCCAACTCCGGGCAGAAGGTAATTACTGTATAAGCCCCAGACCAACTGGAGCCCACAAGTCCATCACAAATTCTTACAGAGCATGGCATTACTGATCAGTTAAAGGAAACTCACAAGCTCTACTGACGAACCAGGAACTTGGACCACGCACCGTTTAGCGTCAATTCCAATGTCTAAGAAGCTTCACCCATAACTCCATATAAAACTCAGGAATAAAGCATAGTTGCTAGGTTTCCTCCTCTGTGCTTTGCAATAAACACCTACTTTCTTCCACCACTCTGATGTTGGTGATTGGCCTTCTGTGTGTCTGGCAAGCGGCCCCAGTTTGTGGGTTCTACAACAATGCCTCCTACCATACCAGTTAGACTGTAGTTCAGTGACATGGACAGGGAAATGAGAGATTGGTGTTATTTTTCCTCAGTGATAGTTACTTTAACATACATTTGAACATACATACTTATTTCAGTAATTGCAATAAATGCTTTTTTTAAAGTATCATTTATAAACATTTGTAAGACAAACTCTCTTTGTGTCGTGTTGGCTACAAAATAAAGCTGTATAATAAATAATGTGCAAGCCATGCATCTTATTCCTCTCACCCATAGTTAATCAATCACAATGTTCTTTGTCATTCAAGGATTCTGAATTTTTGCATCTCTGGAATCCATTACCTATCAGCCAATACCAGTATTAATACTGAAACTCTTCATCTTAGGTACAAGAGCATTTACATGCCTAATATATCTTAGGAAAGACTTTTCACCAGTCCCGTTGCACCAACACACTGTTAACTTGGTCAAAATATTTTATATGTAAATTCAGATGTGCATATTTTGTAATCTGCAATTATAATCACATGCTTTTTGCTGAGATATGATTAAATCTTATGTAATGTATGTGAACATGTTCCTAGCTGATCTCACTAATTTTTTTATTTTGTCTATTTTGTAAATGTGGATATAGATTTTTCTCATTATACCTGCATATCCCTGTAATATTATTTTTTGGATTATGGTGTTTGATAACGAGGGGGAATGTTGCTAAGGGAGGAGAAACCTGGCAGCCTCACATCTGGCTCATCGTTAGGATGTTCTAGCAGCCTTTTACGCCCAGTTGGAGGCTGTATGATTAATAATCCCTCATCCAAATTATACAGATATTATACTTGTCTTCCTTTGGCTGGAGATGGTGGATATCTTATGTGTTTGCCATGCAAATCTGGGCTTTGTGAATGCTAATTTCCAAACCAGTCAGACATTGACAGGCAGAAAACTGCACAATGGGTTGACAGGCATGCAGAGGTTCAGGGATGTGTGAAAGAGAAGTTGAGTGAAAGCGAGGGAAAAAGAACCTAAGACGTTCGGAGTTAATCAAGAGAAGTAGTTGGCAGAGCAGCAGTTTATGAATGCAGGTCTAAGGCAAATATCCTGGAAGGGAGGGCTGTTTCAAAGACTTAAGCAAGCAATGAAAAGAGGCAGAGTTTTTGCTGACTTCATGAAAAGCAAGGTGGAACTAAAAAGCCAAGATCATGCCAATAAGCTAAACAAGCTGCATTCTCTGTCTGCCACGTTCCCCAAATGGGTCTGCACCTGTTTGCACATGGGGAGCCTGAGTTCATTGCTACTGTCACATCACCAGGGCTAGGGATCCTGTCGTCTTGGCTTGCTCAGTGGCAGTAGAAATAGGAAATTCGAAGGTGTTCTCTAAACTAGAATAAACTGAATGTTCACATTTCAGGGGAATGATTTTGGTAACACAAAAGGGGAGCAGCAAAGATTCCAGATATTATTTTATTGCCTTATCATTATAGTGGAAGTCGTGAGAATGAGTACTAAAAAAATGTATTTGGAGGATCTCCAATAACCAGGTAGAAAAATTGTCAATAATAACCCCTTTTTGGTTTTCATTACAAAGTTCTAGTTAAGATTTGCTAAATTTTCTTTGACAGCAGGTACTTTCAGCCCAAGGCTTGCTATGCAAAAGGGAGAAGAAAGATGCCATAGGCTACAATGGATTGTCCAAAATATTTTTCCACTTTATGAAGAACAACACAGATAGATCACATCTGCTCTGAGGGACGTTCTATCCATCTTCTTTGCATTCTGCCCACCTTACTTTTACAAATGCCTTTTAAATTTTGAGAGGTTATCTCAGTATCACTGTACACTTCCATACTCAAATGTACTTTTTAGTAAATCCCCTGTATTTCAAAATATTGTGGTAGATTTAATGAACCTGCAGATATAACTTACAGGTATGTAAACATCTACACACCTGTTCATGTAAACTGTCTTTCACTGAATCAAAGATGGAAGGTTTCCAAAATGTCCTGGGTGAAAAGGGGAGCTTTCAGAACTCCATCTCTAACACAAATATGAAGACATTTGGCTTTTACCAAGATGGCAGTAAAGATAAAGAATGAAGCTTCTGCCCTACTAAAGACAAAGCATAAAGCTTTAATGATCAAGAGGGCATTTTGAAAGGTGTCCATAGCCACAGGCAATCAATCAATCAATCACACATCATTCACTTTTCAGCCACGAGTTGCAGCTCAATTAGCCTCAGGAGAGCACCATGAGAAGAAACAAGCTGACCACAAGACCATCATCAAGTGTCCCCTGAACACAAAGACTGGTATGAGGAAGACAGCAGAAGATAGCAACACACGTGTTCATTGTGGATGCTGAGGTCTAAAAGCATCAGATCAAATAAGGTGTGAAGAAGCTGTGACATTGATGTTGCATTGTCAATACTCAGATCAGATCTGACCGAGAAAAGGCAGCATGTATGTGACTGGCTCATGAGTATGAAGCATTAGAATTTGCCAACAAAATGGAATTATCCAGCTGGCTAATTCTAAAAAGGCCTTTTCACCATAAAAATGTAGACATTTGGTCTGTTCCCAAATTTCCCAAATATTTCGCTTTTCCTGTGTGAGAATGAAAATTTGATTTAAATGAATTTTGACGATGAAATGAGTACTATCATCCCATCAATCTAACTTTTTATTTCAAGATAAGCAAATAATTTGTTATAGAATGTACCTGAATTTTTGCTGAATTTGTTTAAACTTTCTCAGGTTGAACATGTTTAAAAAAGTTTCCTTATTATTCGAGCAAAGAAAACAATTTAAATGTTCTGGAAATCATTTATTTTGACATTCAAATCTGTATGGGTCTCCCTCCTTTCTGTTGATACCCTGGTTGGACGATTCACCTGGTGGTGGACACTGACCCACGAATGCTGAGCGTCTGCTCCCAGCTGCACTTGGTGTGTCAGTGTAGACGCTCCACACCTGTCTTTGCTGTCCACAGAACACTGTAACTGACATGACTGCTACACCAGTGTTGTTGTATTAGTGATGTGACTATCAGAACCTCCTGCTGACACATCAGAGCAACCAGTACTGGTTTTCGTTTCAGAAATGTGAGACGTATTCCCTAGCACAGCAAACCTAACCTAACACATATAAATTATGACACCCATAGTTATTTTTTTTTAATTTCAGAAGAATCTTATGAGTTAATTCATGACATTCTATCCAGAACCTACTATTTCTTATTATTCAGTTATGAACCAGTATCACTCCCAAAATAATTAACTGAAGAATGAATTAACACATTTTGCGTTATTTGTTGCTGATTATTATAAGATTTATGGTCATCAGTTGCAGACCTACATGGAATCCAAAATGTAAAGCCTGAATATCTAAGTTCTATAATCAATACATGGATTTTTATGTGATAAAGTTGTCTCAGCTTTGTAAATCCTACAACATTATGCTGTTAAGTGTTATTGCAAATGACATGTACTCATCTCTGTCATAGTAATATAGTAATCCAAAATTATATATTTTGGATAATACAGGCATATCATTTACAACTATGTCATTTGTAATTTTTAATAGCTCCTGGTAGAAGGAGGATCCTTTATTGGTACATAACTGTGAAAAAATGGGAGCATGGAATCTATAGAAAAGCTAAATTCTTTTAGAAAAATGAGTAAGAGAATAAAAGAATTAAAGAAGATAAACGGTACCTGGGAGAGACCTGGAAAGAAAGAAACAGGGCAAATTGAGACAATTCACCATCCTAACGACATAGCTGGAATACTGTGGGTGAAACAGCTACTGAAATGTTAGATGCTTGGATCGTGCAGATTGTTCACTGTGGAAATCCTCCAGTCTTCTCCCAAGAATCGCGGAAAGAATGTACCGGAATCTGAATTATCAAATGTTGACTACCTCTATGTGAAAGGCTATTTACTGAGTATTTAGTCAGCTAGTCAGCAAATTAGTTCAGGCCAAGACAAACTGTTGTGAAAATTCGCATAATGATTAGGAAAAAGCAGAAAGATCACACTTTGCCTGCAGATCCCATTTGTGTGCACTGAGGGTGAACAAATTTCAAACCATTCCAGAAGTAGTAGAAGTGGTTGGCTATCAACACTTACTGCGAGGACAATCTGGAGGGAACTATGAGCCACCTCTACGTACTGGTACTCCAGAAAACACCCTGAGACCGTGATGTAGCGATGGTCCTCTGGGGCCCAGTCTGGGGCAGGTGTCACTGACGTCACCTTACAGCCTAGTCCATTCTCCATCCACCACGAGCGGTGCATTGAAATATTAAAAGTCAGGATAAGGTCCGTTTCCTGCAAAAAGGCAATTTATGAGGATGAGGATTATAAAATAAAGGTCAGTAAGCTTCTTGAGGATTGAAATGCTCTGGCTTTACTGTTAAGAAATCGAGGTTCTTCCCCTCCCCATAATTTATAGGCAGCAAAGAAGCATTTCAGATAATTGCAAACCTTATAATAATAATATAAAACTATTTTGTTGGAAAAATTCAAGTGATTTCCATTAATTGTAATGCTAAAGAGTTTTTATCATTGAGCTGTGTAGATAATACAAAGAGAATGCATTAAATCATATTACCAAGTTCATGGTTTTGCAAATTTTCTATACTTTCCTCTTCCTATAAATATTACTTTTTTTTCTCCCTTGGATTATTTACTTCTTACACAATTCAATGTTAACACTGCATTTCAACTCAGCAACATTTAGCATAGAGTTATGGCTAATACTAGAATTATGAGACTTTTACATAGTAAAACATATTTTTTCTCCTTCCTATTACTTTGATCCTATTAACTTCTGTGAATTTCATCAAAAAATTTTAGGCTTTATTTTTTTATTGAATTAAGTCATCATAATAAATGCACTTACAAAGGAAAATCAAAACATATTCCCATAAGAAAAACAAAAGGGCATATCTTTGAGGAAAAAAATAGCTGTGGAACCTAAAGGTTACTGAGAGTGCAGGCCAGAGTAAGTGTTCCACACAGCGCCACTCTGGCCTGGCAGTCATCAAAAGCATCGCACTATTTCCTTATACACACTCACCAGCAATTTAGGAACTGAATTTTAACTCACAAAGGCAGCTGCCAGCTATTTGCTTGGAACACCTCATATTTTCCTTTTTTCTCTGTTTAACTAACTCTCTAAATACGCTTCCTTGACTTTGTATTATAGGTTTTATCTGTCACTTCCCCTTCTTAACCCTTTCCTTCAGGATAAGCCCATTTTGACTCTTCATAAAAACTGACATTTTCCTAGAATTAATATCCACTTATTCACATTCCTAAAAATACAAATGACCACGAAGTGTTCAGAAGATTTCAGCAGACAGACACAAATGCCTTGTGAGGAGCAAGGGATGAGACGTGAGATGGGGTACACACCCACAGTTGGAGTAAAATTCCTCCCGTACACAAAGGCACGCATTTCTACACGCATTCGTCCTATCCAGCAACACTTGGGAATCATCTCTGAAGTCAGTGGAAACCGCCAGTCCAGGCTGCAAGCAGCCTCCCCTCCCTCGCATCCCTCTGTCTGCATCTTGGCCCCTGGGCTTCGCCTGCCGGCTGCAGCAGTGCCAGGACATACATCCAGCGCTTGCTTCCCAGGGCTGTCTGTAGTGAGAACACTTTTTAAAAGCTTCCCAATACGAACTCCCTTCACATCGTATTGGACATTAAACCAATTAGTGGTCAGAGAAACAGCGGAGACACTGGGTGATGCTGAGGGAAGCAGGTGGCAGTGTGAGGCCGGGAAGAGGTTCACGTTGGATGAACAGCTCTCTGGTGAACAGGTCTTTGCACTGGGGAAGTATTGAACCTTTTAATAATTATATAGGTTTATTTATTTATTTCCTGGAAAGGCAGACTTACAGCTTAAGGAAAGACAGAGAGAAACCGTCTATCTGCTGGTTCACTCCTCAAACAGCCACAACAGCTGGAACCGGGCCAGGAGCGTGGAGCTTCATCCAGTTCTCCCACCGGAGTGTAGGGGCCCAAGGGCATGCGTCAATGTCCATTGCTTCCATAGGCCTCATGTAGGGAGCTGGATCAGCAGAGAAGCCTCTAGGAGTCCAGATGGGGCTCATAAAGGATGCTGACACTGCTGACAGAAGCTTAACTTTATTTTCTCCTTCCTATTAATTCGACCCTATTAATTACTGTGCATTTCATCATATTATATCTCTATGGAAATCAACAACTCTTCAGATGAAGCTTAAAGATAAGTTTTCTCAGAAAGTTTGGAATCACAAATACCAATACATGGCTATCAATAGCACATCAGCAAATCTTGTCGTTCAGGTGGAAACTGGCTGAAGGGAACACAAGAAAGAAATTCTATTACCCAACAAGTCAAGAGGAAAGATGAATCCTAAGAGAGATTGGGAAATTGAACTATTTAATTCTCAGTAATACTTGAGGACACAAGAAAATAGCTAACAACTACCATCACTCCAAAGCCAGTTGATAAATTGACTAAGTAGATACTGCACAAAAAATGTCTTATATTTCCCTTTATGACTTCGAGGCACTCCTTTACATTGGAAATGAAAGTGTTGAGTTGAAATGGCCAGGGAATTCAGAGATTTGAAAAAGAATTTCCTTGGAGCCATCTGCTAAAAGGTTCATCATCTGAATGGTGTTAGTTGGGTGAGGTTGTACCTGTGCTTTTTCTTCTGAAGTCTATCAAAGCAGCTTCATATGATCTATTGTATCTTGGGAGTTCCATGAACTGGTTTGACTCAGACATAACAAATGACAAAGTATAGCCTCTAGTTGGAGCTAAGTATACTACACAAAAATGCAGGTAGTGCTAGTGTTAGGAAGGCAACTGGATTAAGAATGAACTCATGGGCCAAACACGGTAGACTAGCAGCTAAAGTCCTTGTCTTGCATTCCTGAGATCCCATATAGGCACCAGTTCTAATCCCAGTGGCTGCGCTTCCCATCCAGCTCCCTGCTTGTGGCCTGGGAAAGCAGTCGAGGGTGGCCCAAAGCCCTGGGCCCTGTGCCTATGTGGGAGACTTGGAAGAAGCTCCAGGCTCCTGGCTTTGGATCAGCTCAGCTCCAGCCATTGAGGCCAGTTGTGGAGTGAATCAACAGATGGAAGACCTTCTTCTCTGTCTCTCCTCCTCTCTATATATCTGGCTTTGCAATAAAAATTAAATAAATCTTGAAAAAAAAAAGAATGAACACATATGTGATGAATATAAAGTAATGATATTTGTGGAAAATCATGGGTCATCCAGAAAGAGAAAATTAACTTTAAAATATTCAAAATATGAAAATAAAGATATATGAATTAGAACAAGCATGGGATTGTTTTTTTCATGCTTTCAAAGTAGACCAAATGGTTAAGGAATGGTTGGGATCTGCACTCCACATCTTCCCAAGGTTTGAGAAAGGAAGTGCTTGTAGGGAAATATGCCAGCAAAATTGTGTAACTGCAATTTAGATACATTTTTACTAAACGTAGACTCATTAATATGTAGTAGTAATATATATATATATATGTATATGTGTATATATATATATCTTCATATTATATTTTGATTCCATTTTGTTTTTGAGGCTTCTTCATATCAAAGTGAAAGATTAAAACTTGATTGGCAGTTTGCTATGTACTATTGCACTGATCAGTTGGTATCTTTCACGTATGATGACTGGCCAATGTCTTCCAAGTGCTCCATCTGAAAGGACTTGCTAGATTTTGCTCTGGGACCTTCAGTCTTTACAACAATTACTTGGCCACACAGCACTGTCAGTCTGCACTAAGGAGCTGGTGCTTTTGTTACATAGCATGCAATTTTAACTTAACCCTTACGTATCCAGAAACTTAGCTAATGCCTAGCTGTGCTTCAGGTGGCTTGCACATCTGGAAGCCCTGCATGTGAACTAAAGGAAGAGCCTAGGGCTATTGGCTTCCTGATCAAATTATACAGTTTATTCCAACGCCTGTTCTCCAGCTCAAATCTGGGGTTGAATTCCAGGACTTGACATTCACAGTTCACACATCTAATTGGCACATCAGGATCCTCCTGGGCATATTCGTATATTTTGGATTTTTCTTCTTAGCTAGTACACTTGCCAACCCTCCAGCCATCTCCTGTCTTTTCATTTTTGTCCATCATGTTTATACTCTTGGTTTACTATGTTTTTATTCTTTAATATCACTTTGATGGTGTTTTATGATCAATTATAAATCAATGTCATTTTCAGTGAGCTATCACTATATGAAAAATCTCTGTATTATGCATAGGATGATTCAAAAAAGTTGTGAATAAGGAATTTAAATAAGTATATAACAGTTAAAAATTTTTGAAGTCCATCCACACAAGTGGTTGTCCAAAAGGTTATGAAAAAATGCTTGAACTTAAAAAAATGCACCAAATTATCTTTTAGTTCTTTTTTTCCCATGAGTTTTCTGAAGTTCTTTCAGACTCCCCATTATTATCTTTTTGTAAGTTTCTATGTATGTATATGTAGTACTTTAACCACAAAATGTATATTTCAGTTTGTAAAGCAGAAAGCAGATGATACAATGTTCTTTTAAATTCAACAGATTCCTAAGTAAGATCTATTCTACTCATAATCAAGTTATTTAATTTTTATCTTTTATAATTTTCAGATAAAATTATGAAATTAGACACAAATATGCTTTTTTAAAATATTCATTTTAACTTGAAAGGTATATTTATAGATATAAGGAGAGACAACAAGAGAAGGAGAGAGAAAAAGAGAGAGAGATAGAGAGAGAAATCTCCCAAATGTCTGCAATGGCTGAGCTCAATCATTGCTAAGCCAGGAGCCAGGAGCTTCTTCTGGGTCTTCCACTTGAGTGCCGGGGTCCAAGGACTTGAGCAATTCTCTGCTTTCTTTCCTAATCCATAGCAGGATTGTGAATGGGGAGTGGAGCAACTCGGGCCAGAATCAGTACTCATTTGGGGATGCCCTTGCTAGCAGGTAGAGTGTAAGCTGATTGAGCCATTGTGCTGGTCCAGGCATAATGTGCTTTCAAGCAGAAAATAAAATAAAAACCCCCAAACAAAATATTTTATATTCTAGATGTATTTTTAGAAAAAAATGCAAAATGGGTTCAGAATTGTAAGATGCTTAATGTTTTACATCTAAAAAAACCTTTTATTATTCTGATCAGTATAATGAAAAAACAAAAGTCCTCACACTGGTATTTATAGTTATTTGTTTTCGGAAGTCTTCAAAGTTCAGATTAAAGGGTCCCATTATTGGTTGTGCAATTTTCCAAAATGAAAAGGTCTGCCGTGTTACATGAAAAC